CTTTTTTTTTTTTTTTTTTTTTTGCTCAGGGTACTAAGACTCAGGCCTTCAGCTCTGCAGCATAGCTAATTAGAAACTTGCTGATCAAAGCTTCCTCAGCAAATGGGGAGCCCAACATGTTTAATTCAAAATATCTCAGAATGATAAGCCTAAGAGATGTTTGTATGGCTTGCCAGCATACGCTTGAGTTTCTGGCAGATTGAGGGTCTGATCTTTCCTGGATCTGTGCCTCTGTCCTGCAGCCTCAGATGGGACCTGTGTGGCACTTTCTGTGGAATTGCCATGACAAAGGCCTGAGGATGGGTTCACAGCCCTGACCCCGTTTCCAAGGTAGGCATAGTACAGGATATGGTCCCAAACAGCTACAAAACACAGCCCTGACCGAGTTTCGAAGGTGGGCATAGCACAGGACATGGTCCCAGACAGATACCAAACAAAGTCTTGATGCTCTGTGCCCATGCTGAACCTAGCCAGTGCTAAGACAGGAAACACCAAGACAGATGAAGCTTAAAATGGTTTTAAACCTAATCTGAAAACTTAAGTTTTATATTAACCCAGACAGCCAATGCCTTGAACACATGCCAAAAAGACAGCTGTCCCCTAGTGACAGCTCACCCAGGACAGCATMTGCTTAATTCCAAAATCCTCAAGAGTATTTTTCATTCCAGAAGAAACCTGCTCACTCCCTCAGTGTAAAGGTTGTCTTGCCTTCCACCACCAACCTAATACCTCCAAGTTTCTGAAAATACTTTTTCAGCAATTGAAGATGACAGTTTTAGCCTCAGAGAAAGGACTCCTACGTAAATACAATTTGACCTACACAAATCTCATTTACTGGTGGTTTCTGAAACCTGTTCTGTTCACTGACAGATGATCTCTTTTCATCCCTCCTGTTCTGTCTACACCACTTTAYTGGTCCTTCAAACATACATGAAAGCAAAGGCTACACTACAGCCTCAAAGTACAGTGTCACAGGCTTTCTATCTAATTTCTAGTTAGAGCTGCTGTTGCACTCAGTGCAAGATAATAGATGGGTAGGAGGAAGTTGAGGAGCTTGTTGACAGATTAAGTGAAATTGTAACTATGATGAATATTGTTGCTGTATTATCTAGTCTTAAAACAAACAGATTGATTGAAACAAACTAATTAATGTTTTTTTTTTTTCTTTTTACATACTATTATTATAGTTGTGGTATCCCCTCCTATGTTACCAGGATGAGCCTGGGCAAAGTTCTAATAAGAAATTCCATTAACCAGGGTAAATACTACATCTCTATAAAAAGTTATTCTTATTTGCGACAGCAACTATCTCATGTATTTTGAGTTAGAAATGGAAAGACAATTTGCATTATGAAGCTAATTAACCAGTGCCACAGTGCGCTCCCCATCAGTCCGGCTGAGCAGCGTGCGGCAGCACTGACCCCGATATCAGAGCTGTCATGCAAGCGTGGCCCAGGCGCGGCTCCTGCTGCCTTATGTAAGAGGTCACAGAGCAGCCGGCCTTTCCTGKCCTCGAGTACTTGCGTGACTGCTTCAACAAAGCCACTGTTAGTCTCTGTTGCGGTTCCATGGCGTGAGATCAGAAAATGTCGAAGAAAAGCCTGATCGCCTTACTGCCGTGAGGCCGACACTGTGCCGGCCGCTGGCCCGGGCAGGAGGCGAAACAGCCGGGAAAGCGCGTGTGGTGCCRGGGGAAGGCATTAACGGGAACGGGGTCACCGTCCCGCCCCACGCCTTCCCCGGTGGATGCGAGCCTTTGCCGGGCTGTCCCGCCGGCTCCGGGCGGGGCGGGCGCGTTCCCCCCGCGGACACTCGGGGCGGCAGCGGCTCCGTGCGGGCACCGGGCCGGGCGGCGCGGGCTGACGTCAAGGACGGGGCTGGCGCTGCCCGCGGGCGGAGCGGGGCCGGCGGCGGGCGCGGGGCGGCGGCAGGTAGGGCCGGGGTAGGGCGCGGGGAGGGCCGGCGGGGACGGGGGCTCGGGGGCTCGGCTCCGGGGGCGGTCCGGCCATCGCCAGCCCCGCGAAGGTCAGCGGGAAGCGGAGCCGGCCGGCGCCGGGAGCGGTGTAGGGCCCGGCTGTCGACGGCCGGGAGGGCGAGACGCGGCTCTCGGGCCAGCCCGGCCCAGCCCAGGGCGCTGCCCAGCGGCGGCTGGAGGGGACGGAGCGGAGCCGCCGCCGTGCCCTGGCCGGGCAGAGCCGCGGGCCAGCGGCACCGCCCCGGTGGGCCCGGCGAGCTGTCGTGGGGCTGTCCCCGGTGGCTCAGGAGAGGTGGGAGCGAGCACCGCCCCGCCGGCGCACGGGCAGGGCTGGAACGGAGCCGCAGCCCCGCCAGCGCCGGGCACTGGCTCGGAGAGCACAGACAGCTCGCGGGGAAAGGGCCTGCGCGCCGCTGGGGCAGAGCCAGGGAGCTCCAGAAATAGAAAACTTGCGCTGTTCGGAGCGGGAGGGGGCGGGTAGGGTTACATTTGAACACTGAGCTTCCTATAGTCTACCCGAAGTACTGAGAGTAAAGTAACAGCGAGGTGGGCACGGCCGGTCACCGGGGACTCAGCTCCATAGGCGGGTCYGCTGTCTGAGCCCTTTCCATCTACACGGATTGCAGGATCGGGTCCACTGCTAGCGCAACTGCATCAGTCAAAACCGCACTACTGATTACAAGCTGCCGGGAGAAACACTTGATTTGTTTTAAAGTGGTTTTTTTTTTCCAACCAGCCAACTGAGTTTGAGAGCAAGAAACAGACTGTTGGATATTCCACATTATATTCCATGCAGAAAACTGCTGTTCCAGGGAGCAGAAAGAAYAGTCCCACCCCTTTGCTGCATTTACTCTTAAGTCGAGTTCAGTTTAGAGTGCTACTACTTTTAGATTTCAGTCACCAAGACACTTACTAAGATTGGTGATAAATGAATATCGTTGGTTAAGTTTCATTTTTCATGTTGGTGGCCCTGGGCTAGTTTAACAAGCAAACACTATTCAGATGCAGCTGATCTTGCTAGGCTATCTTCAAGCTCTGCAAATATACTTTTATACATCATGTGGGTGGACTGTGAATACTGTATAGGACTTCAAATGAGCCCTTGTGCTTAAAAAGGACSAGAGAAGAATATCTAATTGTTTTTGCACCTCCTACATTAAGTGCTGACAGATTGTTCTGTGTGGTTCCTTGCTCTCTCTCCAGAGCTGAAGTTCCGGGCACTTAAACTCTGTATTGGGAAAGGATAATTTTTGTCTCTGAGGTTACATGCAAGGTGCTGTACAGCTGCTGAAGCTCCATTTGCTCTTGTAGCCTTACATAGCTCTGAGACATTCTGAATGTGAGACTTTGCAAGCCATTCTGTAATCACAGGCAAAACTCAATTTGTCAAGAGAAAGGTTTTCTTCTTTGGTTCKTCCAATTTTCATGTCTAACTTAAATTTAATTATGTTGTTGTGTAACAGAGTAGGTTTAAAGGTAGCAACAACAGTCCTGGTATAGTATAACACTTGCAGCAGAACTGAAGTTCGTGTAAACTCTTTRCTGGCTTGTAGACTATCAAAGAGCCTCTGGAAATAGTTGATTTCACCTTACTGGGCAAACTGGAAGACATGGAAGCACCATTAGAGACACTCATTCCAATGAAAATAAGAGCAGGTAGACTATTTCCTTGAGAAGGAGAATCAAGGGGAGAGGAGCATATRCTGGGGTTTTGGCAGAGAGGCTCAGGTCCTGTGTACTGCTTGGTTACTTTGGAAGAATAAATTGGCCTCTATTTCTGGAGCTTGCTGTCTGTAGATGGGTGACAAGAGCACRCTTAGACCCAGAGCAGGACCAGGTGATCACAATTAAAGCAGGACAGGAGTCTGACACTCCCTTTCAGTGGGCTCTCAGCTGAATGTTTGTTTTCCCAGTGAGCTGGTACAAAAGTGTAGAATAAGAGGTTTATCCAGGWGCTTAAACTTTACCTCCAGGTGGTTCTCACTATCATATCCAAGCTTGTGCTGCATGTGGCATTCCTTAAATATGAAATCCTGATGGTTATAATCTTGTGTACTAAAGTATTTGCTCAGCACTCTGAAGAGGACACAGCTACAAGTAATATCCATTAGATCAGGAAACAGATGGATGCTTACTGACTTTATATTTTACTATGGGATTACAAAACTCTTTTTTTCCTCCCTTCTCAGCTTTAAATACGTTCTTTGTCTGGGAGGAGTTCCTCTGTCGATCAAATCCACTATGCCACCTTTCACCCCCTCATGCCCCCCCCCTTAACGCTGCTACAAGTACAATGTTATTTGTTAGGTTTCAGTATCTGTCTCTCATATTGGCTTAGAGACTCCACAAATAATTTCTAAAAAGCAACCTTCTCAGGGGAGGCTTAAAATGCTTCTGTTCTTGCTTTTCTAGTTCAATTGCACCCAGATAGTTGGGTTTTTATAATCTCTTTTAAAACAATAATCAGAACACCATTAGGCTATAAAATAAAAACTCATTTTCCAATATATCCCCTACYTGATCTCTTTTTTCAGCATGCTCATAAACCAGAGTGCAGTGGCTGAGTATTAATGTCATGTGTGATAACTTGAATTTAATGCAGAGTCCTTGCCAYGCTATTTCAAGCTTCATTTAAAAGCTGTGGAGAACTGAGAATCTTACTTTATGGGCTTATCTTTTACTTATTTTAATTCTTCTTGGAGTGAGCTAGTGATGATTTGAAAGAAATACAAGTCATAAAAGCAGCTTTCTCCTTCCTGTTCAGGATTAAACAGTTTCAGCTTTTGTTTTGACTGGACTTTGAGCCASTGAATGAAAAACACAGGAGAGGAAGTAAAGAAAAAGAGAGGTAGGTAGAAGTAAGGGCACTCAGTAACTTGAGACTGCGGAATACAGGAAGTACACGTATGTAGAGAGAACAACTTGGAAAGGAACTGGTGAGTCAGGAAGCAGTCACWGCAGTCTGTCCCTTCCCCATTTTCYAMGGGCAGTAGCTSTGAGCTTSTTTGCCAGCTGAAYWTAAAGGTGSTCTCTGATAGTTCATCCTACAATACCAGCTGTGCTTACTGAGYATCTTCAGCTGGGATCTCCTGTGTCTCCCTGCGACCTGAGCTGGGTACATGCAGCTATAATAGATAGTGATATGGCTCTTTATAATGTATTATTGTGAAATACTAAAAACTGCTTTTCTTCCACTTCTCCCCCACCCCCTTCCTTTCTGTCCACTAGATTAAGCAACAATGGCATTTGTGAAGAGYGGATGGCTGCTCCGGCAAAGTAAGTCACCGGTCTTTTTCTTTCTTCTCTCCCTGTTCACTGTGACTTCTTCAGAAAACATCAGAGCAACTCAGTAATTCCCAGGTTTTCTTAATACAAGCCTCTAGCTCTGTGGGTTGTTTCTGTTGGGGTTTTTTTTTTTTTTTTTTTTTTTTTTTTTTTTTTACTTTTAGGACACGTCTCAAAATGACCTGTCATGACAGCATTCCCATGGGACCTTCGGATACTCCAGTGGGAAGCAGGATATACCATAGATCTGAGATGTCTGACTGGCATTCAGCTTCAGATGCTGCTCTGTAATTAGTGCTGTATGAGTGGAGACTTGGAAACTTTACCTGACACCTTAACTTAGAGTTTTCCAATTAGTCATGCCCTCTGCTTGTTCCTGCAGCAAGTTAGAACTCAGGYGTCAGGTCATGCACATAAATAAAACCAATTTTTTTTTTTTTTTCTGAATCCTAGCTAAAATACAGCACCCAATTCTCTAATGTTCCCAAGTGGGGATGCTGTAATACAGGATTTGGCTTGGCACTTTGGAACGTTGTCTGGGGCAACTGTGAAGGATTTCTTGGTTTATTTCTAATTGACTCTAGAACAAAAATATTTCCCATGATGTGCCCTCAAAAGTAACTGTCTGATTTTTAAGGTACTATTTTACGGCGTTGGAAGAAGAAYTGGTTTGATCTGTGGTCTGATGGCCGCCTAATATTCTATGATGATCAAAATCGCCATGACTTAGAAGATAAAATCCACATGCGAATCCATTGCATCAACCTCAGAGTGGGGAATGAATGTCGAGGTAATAATGAAATCTTCAGGATTTGTGTATCCAGAGATTTTTCACTACTTCAGTGCCTGCCCAGCATACCCATGTACAGCACTACTGCAGAAGTAAACACATCCAAAATGTGTGCACGTTCATTGTTCTTGAATCCCCCCACCTTTCAAAAAGCTAACCCCACCAACTCCTAAATTGCTTTAGAGATACCCAAGGTGTGGAATAACCATGGGATAGATTAGGTTAGGGTTTGATACTTCCTTTAAAAGCTGAGTGAGGACAGTGTACCTGTCTCAGTGCATGYAGGAGAATGGGATGTTCACAGTAGGCCATAAGTCTGATCGAGTGTTCCTGGTGCTGTCTGGACTGAGAGACAGGGCTAGAAATGGGAAACCTCTGCAGATGTTTTTCCTAAGTTCCATCATTTGTCAGCGCTCCACTTGGTGCTGACACGAGGGAAGGAYACAAGTGCTGGAGAGTACTTATTGCTGATTGGTTCTGCTGCAAGACACTTGCATTTCATAGGAATGAAAAGGTGTTCAGAGCTGCTTACTTTCAGGTCACTCTGAAGAGCAAGAACAGGTTATTTCCTTCTCTGACTTGTTGCTATGGAAGGCAGCTACAACTGGTCCTAGTTTATTTTGTCCAGAGTTGCATAAAATAATCCCTTCTGGTGCATGTGATCATGTAATTCTGGCTATAGGTGCTTCATAACTCATCTGTGTTTTTTCTCACTCAGATTTCCAGCCTCCAGAAGGGAAGCAGAGAGACTGTTTACTGCAGATTGTTTGCCGTGATGGGAAGACGGTCAACCTCTGTGCAGAGAGTGCAGACGACTGCCTGTAAGACAGTCAGAGAATAATGGTTTTGCTGCTTCTCCCTCATTTATCTCTCTTTATCTCTCTCCCTAGTTAGTTTCCTCCCTTATAGCTTTCAGAGATGTTTTAAGAAAGTTTTCAAGCAAATAAAAGCAGGTTTTCAGTGACAAAAAACCTGTAGCTCTCTTAGAAGTTGTCTAACTCATGCAAACCAACTGCAAGTTAAGTCACTGAAAACACTGAAGGGTAAGGAGGAGTAGAAGAAAGTGATTAATATGATTAATGCAAGACTTGTTAAACAGATTTTTTTTTTAAACTTTTGCCATTCTTCAAGAGTACATGATGCTGCACAGCCCATCCCAGTAGCGAAAGGAAGAATACTCCATTATTGTGAACTCTCCACTGGGCTTGGCTATGCAGGGTTAGATAACTTCTATCATCACTGCTTGCCAAGAACTGTGATATGTGGAGCATGCTCCCAGCTCCATGGCAGGAGTAGCTGGGTGAGGTGTTTGKACCTCCTGGGAGCTGCAATAGCAGCAGGACCCCCACACTAATGAGCACAGATGAACTGTTGAGGCAGGGGTGCATCTCTTCCTGTTACCTTATCATGAGTAGCATGAGTGCGTATTTCCTACCTGTTATGCTTGCAGCGAGGATCTCCAGAACTGCATCCWTTCCTCCTCATGTTCCTCCTCATTCTTTCTCAGCTCTGCAAAGAAARTAATTATTTCTCAGTCTTGGTGTGACACTTCAGTGCATTCGATTGTATCATTAGGCTTTGGCACATGYGGTATCTTAAACTCTGCTCATGCAGTACCTCTAGTTGCTAACCTTGTTTGTTTCATTGACCTAAAAGAAAAAGGTGCCATTAATTTTTATCAGTGTTCCACTAACCAATGGGTTTTTTTTTTTTTGCAGGGCGTGGAAAATTGCTCTCCAGGATGCCAGAACAAATACAGTGAGTGTCCTACCTAGACTTTATACTGATAAAGAAGCAGCACATCAGTGTTACGTGTAGTCCAGCAGTTAATTTCTGAAATAATGTTCCATCCTTTTCTGCTACAGAAAAACAGGGTCAGACTTGGCTGCAAGGATGACATGTGCTTGATGGTAAGGTTTGTGGGTGGGGAGAAGAATGATTCTCTGGATCACAAGCACATGTCATCCTTGCAGCCAAGTCCAGGCAAATACGTGCTGTGTTGAAAATAATAATTTTAAGGAGTGATTGCTCTGTGTGGAAGTAAATGTTTGGAAAGCTGGTCTGTGGGCACTGAGGCTGTGGGCAACAAACAAATTTTCTTTAACAGCAAAAATGAACTTTTCACTCCTAATGTTTGTTGCCTCCCAGGTGGGTGCAGTGCTAAAGGAAGCTTACTACACAGCAGCTGTTTGTTAATGTGGCTCCATCACTGTGGGATGCTTCTTGGCAGAGACAKGGGGAAGAGTGAGATGCTTGGAGGGGAGTGCAGGCATGCTGAGGAGGAGTGTATTACCTCTGCATTGCCATGCTAGCTTAAGCATGGCAGTACTTAGGGGAGTATCAGGAATCATAGAAGCCTCTCTGTGAGTCTTCTGGAGAACTGTGTGTTTGGGCAGCCACGTGCATCCATTTGTGGGTAATTACTAATCTGTTTTTCCTCTAGACTGCTTTCTAGAGTACTCTGCAGCAGTAGCTTTCCTTGGATCACTAGACTGRACCAACCTGAGGTGTTTGTGTTTCAGAGAAAATGCTGTGCTCTGTAGAAGCTTATCTCAGTTTTTGATGGGTCACATTAATATTGCCACTGTACTGGGACATATGTCAGATGATATAATTTAGATTTGTGGATACCCAAAGCAAACACTTGTCATGGCAAAACTCCCCCAGACACGACTGCCTCTGACTGCAGCCATGCTACACTGCCTGTGGCCTTAAATGAGAAGTGAAGGATTTGTCCTCATGCAGAGGACACARCACTCCTGGTCTGTCTGCTCTAGTTTTAGGGGCTTTATCTCGCCTGTGGGTGAGACGGTGACTCCTGATTTCAGGAGATGGGAACTGCTGTTTCCATGCCTCTGACAAAGCTGCCACCCTTGCTAGATGGCTCAGAACTTGGCAGTGCTGACCTTGGTCAGACAAGGCAGGTACCCTGCTACTCCGAGTAGAGCAGGTAGTCCTCTACACAAGTAGTTACATAAATTAACACTTTCCAAAGCTATTAAAGGTCCCCAACAAGGACTTGGGCTAACTGGAGTAGTGGGTTTGAGTCTGTAGGTGTGTGACGGTTTTCAAAAATTCCAAGCATCCAGCAGTGCCTCCTAACTTGGCTGGAATAGCAGGCTGAGCACCTTAGCTTTGAGAACTGTATCATTTCCACATGTTTGCAGGCTTGTGGATAGGYTGGACAGAGATCCCTGTGGCAGGGTAGAACATATTTACGGCTAAGATATGAGCATCAGGTGATAGAAATACCACTTCATGTAGTATTTTAACAGTGTTTCAAGCAATCCTTAGAATCTCCACCATGAGTTTGACCTGTGATGTAACCATACTATGTCCTCAAATGTCATCATTACAACAGTCCAACTATGAGAAGATAATAGACTTGCTTTTGAGTTATTGAAATGTTCCCTTATGAATTAAAGAAAGGGAGCTGCCTTTTGCCTTGGAAAGGGGAGTAAGAGCATCACTAGATTTTGGGTATTAGAGGCAAGAATACAAGAGTAGTGTAAAAAATCTTAATTATCTGTGAGAACTTATTCTAGATGGACTCAARTGTTACCACCTTTGCTTCAGGTACCACTTTTGGCTACTGCATTTGTTTCCTTTATCTGCTTCTGCAGAACTTGGTGATRCTATTCTAGGGTACCAGAAAGGARCCAGTTTAGTTGTGAAGATTTCTTTGTTTGAAAACAGAAGATGAACAAGAGGATATTTTCTAAATCTGAGGCTATAGAATGGTGGAAGGAGCCAGTGCACTTGTGTGTAMACAAATGCATGTCTGTGGCACATACACAGGGAAAACTTTTGGGGCCCTTTTCAGTGGTTGATCAGGTATTTGTATTCTCCCAGRTCTGCTTCTTTTTGCAGCCTTTACAAGGGACTCACTTAACATGCRGCGTGGCTAAAGGTYACTTTGTTAAGTTTTAATCCTTACMCTACTCTCWTYRKCTGGCTGTAGAAAAAGGTGATAACTGCTATCTATCCTGTTTAGGGCTACGTGGGATCTGATGTGATGTATGATGAGACAGCCATTTCCTCGGCACCTCCTCCCTACACAGCTTATGCCACACCATCACCTGAGGTAAGAGTTGCAGTCAGGAAGCATCAACGTGAGCCAGGCAGCAGGAGCACCCCCCTTCAAGCACTCACAAAGTCCTGTATTGTATTCTTACATCCAGCTTTAAAGCTTGTACAACCGGAGAGTAAGGCACTATCAGTCTGCTGCCACTCTTGAGAAGGATTTCCTTTGAAAGGGATGAGGCAGATTTGGTTGGGAGCTGTATAAAAGGGTGGCTGCTCAGTGAACTTGGAAAATAAAGCTGCTGAGAGAAGGGCTGAATTTATTTGGCTGATCTTGAAATATATTGGCCATGTAGCTTCTAACATAAGGAGGTGTGACTAYACTTTCATGTTGTGGAAGCATTGGAAGGGTGTAAGATCAGGAGTTTTAAAAATAGTGTGTAATGACTGGAGCTGTCACTTCTAACAAATAGGGATTTTGTTGTACCAAGATGTCATAGCAACACAAYAACTCCAGTTCCTGGATACACAGTTCTTTTGCAGTGAAGGAATGGTCTTGGGAGCAATCCAGGATATATTGGGGATTTCTGGATGTGTTTAGTGATGTGCAGTAAATATGTGAGGGTAATTTGGAGCAGTATTGCTTGTTGCACTGTATGTGCTCTGCTCCAGCCCCTCGCTGCTGTTAAGAGCCAACTGTGGTGCTGGAAGCTTTCTCTGTGCAGCTCTATTGGAGAACAAAATTTCTTTTAAAGAGTATCTGTCTTAAATCTGACATTTGCTTGCACCATACCCTCTAGGAGGCTTGGTTGGATTTTTTTGGGATCAGCTGCTGCCTTCCTGGCACTTCCAAGCTCCCCAGAGAGCTGTTATTGGCATGAGGGCAGAGAGGAGAAGCTGGCAGGGCTGCTGTGGCTCTGCCTGATGATCCAGGCCCTACCTCTGCCATTGCCTATCCACGAAGGGAAGAGAGCAAATGCTGCTTAGGAGTGTTTATTTTCTGTTCAAGCAGCTGTTCTGAATCCATTCCAGGGAGTAGATTTGCTATAGCAGCACAGACTGGATATTTTAGTGAAACTTTAACTACATTAGAAAGGAAGGCAAATGGAACAGTGTGCTTAACTGGATCTCTGGCAAAGTGTCCTTGTGTAACAGATATTTTTAATTTCACCAGGTTTATGGCTAYGGCTACGATCAGTACAATGGGGCGTATCCCCCAGCGGGGCCGCAGATCTTCTATGCCTCCAATGGACAAGCGTATGCTGTTCCCTATCAGTACCCCTACCAAGGTAATCCCTGTCAGCCACATCCTCCACCTTCCCACAGCAGCTGTTGGACTCAGTCTTTCTGCCTTTAGCTCTATTGATCACCATCCTTTACCTGCCACCACTCCTGCACACARAGAAAGAAACCTGACCTGGAACTGGAACCAAGCCCACTCACCCTTTCACAACAAAGGAAATGCAGTGAAATTGGTATTAAGGGATTTAACCTTCCCAGTATGATCTCAGCATAGTCACATTACTTCATAAACTCCTTTTGAAGCACACAGGACTCCCTAACTACAGCATGTTTTCAAAGGAAGGGAATAAGGGGCAGAAAATGAGATTTTGTGATACAGTACTCCAAACTGGGCATTGATGGAGCTTCTCATTCATCTGCTGCTCTTACACCTAGTTTCATTATTTAAATGCAAGTTTCAAAGGTAAATTCACTCCCAGAAYAAGGTTGTAGGTGGTTCCTTCCCCATGTGCTGGAACTGCTGTAAGTCAGCATCTCAGCCCTGTGGAGTCTTCTGTTGTTCTGATCAGGTTTGTATGGCTTTCAATCTCAAAACAGGAAGCAAGGAGTAAAATTGTAGGATATGCTTTTAATCATAGTCACCTTAATTTAGGGTTATTTATGCACAGAGCCCCAGCCCAACACAGCTGGGGCTTTAGACTTGTATGGGTAATAAAAACGAGAAAACTAATTGCTTTTGATCTGAATCTGCAAACAAGGATCTCTACTGAGAATTTTTTTTTTCAGTTTTGAGGAAGATTTGTTCTCCATTTGACATTTTTCAGGTTATTTCACTTGCCTTTTTCATTTTTTTTTATAAGGGAGATGCATCAGTCTTTTAAAGTTTTTCAAGTTTTCTTCATCTAAGTTACTGAAATCCGAAAATACAGACAATACATATACAAACACWGAGAAAGGTGTGTTCTGTTGATTTTGAGCAGCTGAAAAGCAGCAGCTTATTGAAAGTCCCAAAAATTGTTTTAAAAAACTTCAGCAGGCATTGGAAATCAAGCCAAACCCATAGGATAACAATGCAGCATCAAACAGTAACTCCCCTGACCAGTTTGCAAGTCCAGTGTGTTGAGATATTCATTATTGGTTGTGCGTAGTAACCAAGGCTCAGTGTTTTCCTTCACTAGGGTCACTGCAACTAAACCTTAGRGTTCAGGTTCACCCCAGCAACTCACTTAACCCCTGTACTGTCAGCTCCATTGCTTGTTCTCTGCAGTGACATATCCCTTTTCMGGGGGGAGAGTTGTGCATTGTTGAGAGTCAGTGAAAGCCTTTTCCAGTTGTATTCCTTCCATGACTGAAGAATCTGTTACAAAAAGACTACTGTGCAATTTTCAAGAATATTTAATCTTCCTGAAATGTCTGGAAGGGAAAAGAGTACTGTTATGTTTGCTTTGCAGGTAGGAGCTAAATCAGAAAGCATGACAGGTGAAGCTTGTACAAGTCTGTTACAGAGCAAGGGTCAATTGGTGGCTTCTTGAATCCAAGGTTAATTTCTTACTACTGGCCAAGTTTCATTGGAACAGAAATGTAGCAGCTCTCAGCACCCCACAGATCAGTCCGGGGATGTGAAAGCTAAATTGCAGTAGGCAGTAACTGTAAATAACTGATAMACAGTTTCAGACAAATTACTGGCTCAAGACCTTCCAAAGATTTGGGGAGGGGGGTGGGGTGGGCTGTAAAGGGGAGGAACTAAACTATTTGCTTTAACTTCAAAGCTGAATCAATTTTTAGACCCATTTCTCACATTAAATCCATAGAATGTTTCATAGAATGATATGAGTAATTCTAGGTTCTTTGCAGAACAATGTTCACTTTTACATTTGTGATGAGTTTTCCTCACAGATATTAAGCTGTTATAAGTCTAGAAGTGTTGCTAGGCCCTTGCAATTAATGTGGAGGCTGAATCCARAGCAGAAATGTATTCTACCTGTGTAGCTGATGAAATCTTAGTATTCTTGAAGGAATGGGTCTGTTTTGACATCGCAGTGTATGGTGCTAAGATACACATTTCTTTTGCCCTCCTCCCAACAACCTCTTCTTTCCTAGGACCTTATGGCCAACCCCCTGCAAACCATGTCATCATTCGAGAGCGTTACCGTGACAGCGATGGAGATCTTGCACTGGGCATGCTGGCTGGAGCAGCAACTGGAATGGCTCTGGGATCATTATTTTGGGTCTTTTAGATTACCCCTTCCTTATCTCTGTAGTTCCAAAAACCTTTATTGTGTGCAATAATATATTGGCAATGTTGTTTACTGTTAAACTTTAAGAAATGCAATAGTTATTTTTCAGTAGTRACATCTTAATAACTGATTCTTAACTGTCTTAATGAGAGTTTAAAGGCACCATTTAGTTAAGTGGTTGGAGATGGCATGTGCYGCTCTTGAATTCTGGTCTGATGTTCAGAGTTAGAAGGATCAATATGAGCACCAGTGTCACATGGTAGCTGTCACCTGCTTTATGAACAGACTGTTACTGCAAACACCATAGGGAAAAAAAAATTCTGGGGGAGTCTAAGATCTAGTTCAAGTAAGAGATTAACAGGAGCCCTGCATTGGTATACACATACTRCTGGCTTTTAAACATTCCCTGGAAAAACATATAGCTCAGCAGAAATTCCTTGGCATTAGACAGTCTGCCATGCTTGAGGATTTTTTTTTTTTATTTCAGACTTGCCTGCAGATGGTAGTGTGTTTTCTTAGGTGGAGTCCTATCCCTGCCTCTCACACCATCCAGGTGAGGTTGTCTTTGAGAATGTATGAGTAAACCACTAAGAAGTGGCAGCACTCCTTAACTCTTTTATTCTCCCAGAAATGTGAATGACCAGTGGCAAGRAAGACCAATGTTTGTTGTTCTACCTCCCTCTTTATCCTGAATGACTCTTCCCCTGGTGAGATAGAAGTAACAGAACTTTACCTTTGCAAGTGTCTGCAGAACAGCAGCCTCAGACACTGCACCACCACAGCTGCATTATGTGCAGGAGGAGAATAAGCTTGAACAGCCCTCGCTCTGTTGGGCCTACCAACCCCTCTGCAGGCAGGAACAGGCAGGAGGGGAGAGATGAGCAACACAAGGAGACCTTGCACACAGCTATCAGCTGCCTTGCTAGGGCTAGGGTAGGACGCCTGCCTCAGCCACCAAGGTTTTATGAACCAAGTTCCTTATTTGCAACTAATTTTGAGCACAGCTGAGCCTGAGTTTGTCGTATGCACATTTCCCCCTCACATTCAGCAGGTCTCCTCTTTTCTCCAAGACTTGTTGAGGAAAACACTCCAAGGAACCTGGCTGGCTTTGCATGTATGCCTGGTTCCTGTACACGGTGTGCTATGGACTGTACCCTGGAGTGCAGGTGTTTAGTGTGTTACATGGCCTGTTCTAATCCATGCTGAGCTATGCTTGGCAGGGAAAGAAAGCTCTGAAGAAATGCATCTGCTTTCTTATTCAGGTAAATGAGGCAGGGTGCCTAGTTGAGTTCTTAGAGGACTTATTTTTGTACTTTCCCTTTCAGCTTCCTGTATTCACATAATGTTTTAATGTTAAGTCTTACTTATGCTTTGATTCAGAAGAAAGTTAATTTYTCATGGGTCACAGGGTTTCATGTCAGAAAAAAATGAAAACAGATGAGAACTGGCACCCAAATAAATTTAGATTTAGTCCCAATCTTCTCCATTTTATCCTAAAGCTCTCATAGCTCTCTCCTACTTATTTAAGCAATAGAGGTCTTGGACAAAAGTTTGGGTATSAGACAGGGGAAGCGCCAGGCTTTCACAACTCTTGGGACTAGCTCAACCAACTGGAATCATTGGAAGTAAACAGACATGTAATTGGGGCAGCTTTACTAAGAGTGGGCCTAATCTAGGAAAGATAAACTGTTTTCAAGAGGCTGGCTCCGAGCTGTASACATGCATGCATGTCCTTTCACAGTCTAACCCAAGCTGCACATGTTCTGCTAGTCAGATGTACTGAAAGGATGTGCTGAAGGTGCAAAAGAGGACTAAAGTGAAAGTTTCCTATTGCTAGWCCAAACCAAAAGAAGTTGCAGTACAGTACTGAAGCTCTCTTAAAAACCTGGTAACCTTGAGGTCAGAAAGGGATGGAATGTAAGTGAACAAACRTGTCTACCCTTTTAAAAAGCCCTTTAAGATATGAAGTTGATTACAGGTCTATGCTGCTGYTTGGTTTGTGCTTTTCAATAGTAAGTTCTGCAGAATGCCTTCATCTCCTCTTCTTCCTCTTTGATTCTTAACTTGTAAGGAGTAAGGAAGAATAAAACAATTKGGCATCATATGATGTTTAAAAATTTCTTAATGATTGGGAAAGAATAACACCAAGTGACTCAGCTGKTTTTTTATTTTGGTTTGGGCTTTCAGAAGAACTGTTAGTCASAGCAGGGGAACATGTCTTTTGTGTTTTCAGGAGATAACTCTTTCTAGGTTCCCAGTTTCTTCACATGAAGTATATAAAATAAAGACTGTTGATGGCAAAATATTCCTGGGTTGAAATCAAAGCAAGAAATTATCTTTTTTAAAGTTCAGATTGAAGTAATTCCCCTTTAAGAAAATAACCTTACCCTTCTCAATGGAAAAACACACTACAAAGTGAAGCCAAAGATTCGAGTTTCAGCTTGGAAACAATAGGCTGCTTTTATACAAATCATGAACTACTTTGCCATCTCAGAAACACAGGCATTTAGAAGCTAGAAAGAAAATATATGAAATTGTCCTAGACCATGAAATCAAGAGCACAGTTATCTCACAGCAGGTGCTTGGAGCCTTTCTGATCTCACTGCAGAGACAGAAGTGGCAACATCCTGGTACACAAAGGAGCAGCAYGGGGATTGCCACCCAAAGTCACTGGTTGTTGAATCTCATACTTGCATCCTGAAGACATTCCCGTGTCTCCTGTTGCTCAGGAAAAGAGTGGAGCTTTGGTCAGATCTACAATAATATCTGGCTGGATGCACAGTTGTGACTCAACAGCCTTTCTATAGCCAGCTCTGTACTTCAATCAGTTAGTGTGAGTGCTGCTGTAAGCCTGAAGGAGCAGGGCCAAAGGGGATTTGAGGCTTGGAGGGCCTGCTGTGCCAGKTTCTGCAGACCAGTGATACCATACTGATGGGAAGAGGCAGCAGGTGTGGCAAGCTAGTTTTCAAAGCAGATTGAAAYGATAGTTTGTTTCTGAATGGTGCTAATCATGTCTGTAATTCCAGTTATATCTGCATAGTACCCAAGTACACACTTTCCTACTTTGGGTCCAATACTTAAGCCCCCTAAAGCTGTGGGAGGTTCGCAGGTACCACAGTGCCACTGTTTTTGTGCAGTGYACATTGCCAGGGAAGGGTAAATTCGTTGTGTAGCAGTGACAGTCTTTTCAGAATTCAGTGTCAGTGCTTATGGAGGTTACCAGTCTACACGTTCATCTGGGACTAGTTACTTTTGGAGTCTGAGTTACAGACAGCTGGACAGAGCCTGGCTTCCTGAGAGTGGGGTGGGAATGCTCAGCCTTCTGTAAGACTGACCACACTGAAGAGGTGAACCAGGGCTCCCTCCTACATTCTTAGTTACATGTGAAAATACAGCTGTTGGCTTCTTTTGCATGAATTTGGAGGAGAACCAGTTTCTTCTAGGGAGTGGGTAAAGGCTTAAGGACTAGAGAGGAGTGGGTAGGAAGTATCTCTGTACAGAACAGCTGCACTGACTTCCAGCAAAGACACATCTTCCCCAGTGGCGAAGCACATTCCGAGCAGTGTCTGGATGGAGCTACCCTGCATGCAATCCAACACTGGCTTACTTTTGTTTGTTCTTCAGTGAGGATTCAGTAGGTGATGGAACCAGCTACACAAGTGGAGTGGAGGAGAAAATTCACACCCATGTTCCTCAGATGTGTTTGTTCTTTTTCTCCTCAACATAGACTAAGATATATGTAAGTCATGGAGAATAGCATGCAACAAAAGTTTCCCCTCCAAGTCCTTTATGTTCTTGTGCCCTTCCTATCTTTACTGCAGCTTTTACTGTATGYCCTCATTCTCATTATTAATTTATAGCAAAATAATCATAGCAATAAAATTCATATTTAAGTCTAATTATTTTGTCTTGATGTGTTTACTAGCCTTTATTCAACACTTTTCATTTAGTTGGAGTGTAGACAGCTCAGGCTGCCATACCTTGGGCATCTCAGTAACCATTTAATGAGCATGATGTAAAGTCTGTGAAATCAGCAAAGTAACTCCACACTAACACCACTGTACCAAGATTAGAATTAAGACCTATTTCTTTTTTAATGGAGTTGAAGGCTTTGACTCAGAAGTGCTTAATCTTGGATATATGCAACACTGATCCAGATTTACCATTTGACATCGTGTTATCAACAGATTTGTACTGTTTAGTGTTAGACTAAGCTGCTCAGAGCACAGATGTTGCTCTGGGCAAAATGCTATTGGTGCTGTATTGGTACTTCCTGTTTATGAATTGCTTCAGAGCAGTTGGATACAATCAATAAGTTTGCTTTGACAAAGACACTAAATGACCACAGCTAGCTCTGCCTCCTAAAGGCAGACAATCTTGCACATTTGCCGAGAATTAAACTTCCAGTCAGAAGGACCACAGTAAATTTTGTAAAATAGTGTTGCTGCTCTATGTACATTTTGTTTTTACTGCTGAGGAGTGGTGAACATTTTAGCTTCTAAAGTGGGGAAGGAATGAAAATCAAACTGCTATTTCAACTCTGACATCAGCTAATGTCAGGGTACGCACTGCTTTTCTCCACAGCATGCTATGTTGACTGTGCTTATTTTGTCAGTTAGCAGTTCCATATGGTGGATTTACCAGGCTAAGCAAGACATCATGTACACTTAACCCTAYCCACTTGAGCCCACTTTACTGAAATTCTGCACCAAGAACGAGTTAGGGAAATAGATTTGCTGTGCAAGGTTTAGCAGTGCAACACCTTCCTGAGCTTCCAACAGCTTAGAGAATGGGCTTTGCCTCTATTCCTGCATTCCTTCCTTCTGCTGTATTCCCTGTCCTCTTTGTGCCTGCAAAACGCAACTGTCACAATTAACTTAGGTTGTATTTCTAAAAGTACCTCTAGCTCCTGTTGTAGTTCTACTACAGTGCATTGCAGTGAACTCAATGTTCCCTCAATTTGGGCAGAGCTGAAATTGTCCCCCCACCGTGTCTGCTGTGAGCAGTGACTAACCACAAACCAGAGCTGGTCCCAGCTGATTGGCACAGACACACTGGGTTTGGAGCCTCTCAAGTGCCACAGACCTTCTCACTGGGTTTCAGAGTTTTCCAGGCATCTCTAAAAGGCTGCAGGACTCACAGGGCAGATAAAAACTCCAGTGTATCTGCATTAATAATTTGAAGTTTTAGAGCCATCTGATGATTTTTAAAGCGCAGGTTGGGAAGTTTGAAACCAACAACACTGGGCTTAACCTGACTGACTATGGTGGATGCAATACCCAATCCTCCATGTACTTTATGTACCCAAATTAGCCATGCATTTTTGCAAAATATGACAGATAATGTCAAAAAGAGCAATCTCTGATAAGCCTCCTGAACTTTCTGGGGCCAGGTGCATGGGGTGAGGTGAGCTTACCCCAAGCAGCAGCTGCACTTCCTGCATCCATCAACTGCTCCTGGGTGCTCCCAGCTGGGCAGGTTTGGAGGCCAGCAGCATGTCCTGTAACAGAGGTTACCCTTCGTGAACTCACGGATGACACCAAGCTGGTTGGACATTGATCTGCTGGAGGACAGGACGGCTCTGCAGAGGGATCTGGACAGGCTGGATCCATGGACYGAGGCCAATTGTACAAGGTTCAACAAGGTGAAGTGCTGAATCCTGCACTTGGGTCACAATTACCCTCTTCAGCTCTACAGGCTGGGGACAGAGTGGATGGAAAGCGGCCCAGAGGAAAAGGCCCTGGAGGTGCTGGTTGACAGYAGGTGACCRTGAGCCCAGGCATGACCAGGTGGCCAAGAATGCCAATGGCACCTGACCTGTGTCAGTAATGGTGTGGCCAGTAGGACCAGGGCAATGACTGTCCCCCTGTGCTGAGCAGTGCTGAGGCCACACCTCGAGTGCTGTGTCCAGCTCCAGCCYCCTGAGTTCAGAAAGGACACTCTGGTGCTGGAACAAGACCAGAGAGGGGAATGGAGCTGGGGAAGTGTCTGGAGCACAAGTCCTAGGAGGAGCGGCTGAGGGAGCTGGGRGTGTTTAGCCTGGAGAAAAGGAGGCYCGGGGGACCTTTMTGCTCTCTGACCTTATGGCTCTCTGAGAACTCCCTGAGGAGGTTGCAGCCAGGYGGGGGTCAGGCTCTGCTCACAGTGAACGAGGCACAGGACGAGAGGACGCAGCCTTAAGCTGTGCTGGAGGTTCAGGTTGGACATTCGGCAGAATTTCTTCCCAGAAAGGGTGATCACATTGGAATGGCCATCCCAGGGAGGCGGTGGRGTGACCGTCCCTGGCGGTGTGTTAGGAAAGCCCGGGCAGCAGCAGAGGCGCCTCACACCCGCTCCCCTCACGGCGGCTCCGCGCGCCGCCGCCCCTAGATGGCGCCGCGGCCCCGGCGATGGCGGCGCTGGGCCCGGCCCGGCTGAGAGAGAGCCCGCGGGAGTGCGGGGCGGCCCTGCCCGGAGAGGCTCCGGGAACGGCTCTGGGAACGGCTCCGGGAACAGGAACGGCGCTGCCCGGAGAGGCTCCGGGAACGGCTCTGGGAACGGCTCCGGGAACAGGAACGGCCCTGCCCGGAGAGGCTCCGGGAACGGCTCTGGGAACGGCTCCGGGAACGGGAACGGCGCTGCCCGGAGAGGCTCCGGGAACGGGAATGGGAACGGCTCCGGGAACGGGAACGGCGCTGCCCGGAGAGGCTCCGGGAACGGGAATGGGAACGGGCAGCACAACCCGCGGGGCTGCGCGGGGCGGGCAGCCTTTCCAAGCCGCCTGCTGATCAAAGGCAGTTTTTCATTCGAATGCTCAGGGACACGAGTTTAATGAAAAGCATTTCCATGCCAAATTTCCATACTCAGATCCCTAGCTGCTTCAGCTGAAGAGCTGTTTATGATATAGTCAGGGGATTTTTCTCTTGCTGGAGGGGTTCTGTCAGGCCAGCAGGGGACGTGGCTCTGCAGGAGCAGGGTGTGACCCCTGGGCATCACCGCGCCCGGAGCCGCCGGAGCAGCCCCCGAACAGGAGCGTTCCTGCGGCGCTGGGAGGGGCTGGCACACCTTGCACCGCCTGGCAGGGGTTGCTGGCAGAGCACGGGAGGTGAACGAAGCTGGGGATCTGGGATCTGGCTTTTGCCAGCCTGTGCTTTAACAGGGCAAGATGGGCTGGGAGCCCTGGCCTGGGATTAGGATGCTCTGGGTCAGTTTTCCCAGCTCTGTCACAGACAGTTTGCGTGATGTTGGGAAGAGCCACTTTACATTGTCACATTTCACTTCTCACTTTCCCAAAAGAGAGACAGTGATGCAAAAGGAACAGACAAGTTCATGAAAAGCTGTAAGCTGTTCCACACTGAGCATGTACTGAGGACGCAGGGATATCAGCCTGGGCTGACATTTTCAGAGGCCTTTGATATGATCGTAAAGAACAACGATTAACAGTGTTTAAATAAGAAACAGCCTAGAATACAGAGGGCAAGAGCTGGCAATTCACGGACAGAATCATATTTCTTTACACACAGAAAATATGACATGAGGGCTGGAAGAGATTTTAACCCTTTCTCATCCAAAGCAGACTCAACTCCACCACCTTGCAACACTTGCCACAAACCCAGAAGCCCAAGCTCCAGGATGGCCCATGGTACACAACCGCCATCTGATGCAAGGCAGACAGGGCCAACAAGACTCAGCATTATTCCTAAGTGAGGAAGGAAAAGGAAAGAAGCAGAATTGTCTTTGAACAGAGATTGTTAAAAGGAAATGGTAAATTTCAATCCCTGTTTCAAGCTCACTTTAGCTCTAYAAATAGGATCAATTTAGAAACTGCCTACCTTCAATTCACAGCAACATAAGCAACATCAGCATTTCATTTACACTGCCATCTTTCAAACCACTGCCAAACTCAGCAGATGGAGATGGAACTGCATTGTGCACATCAGACCACGCATGACTCTGAGTACATTCATTGATTGTCTGGAACTTGAGTCTTTACAATACTTTACGTGCTTTTGCAATGACTGSCTGACAAAGAGGGAGAAAAGAGAGAGAAGAGTTCTTTAACTATCCTGAAAAATTCTAAGTTCACCATTTTACTACCTGAAATTTCTCTTGATGTACAAGTTCAGTATAATGCCATGGGATGGCACATGGATTGTACTGAACCTGCACATGCARGCTGATAATCAGAGGCCTGAAGAAAACACACCTGGGAAAAAATCCCTTCCACCAACACATGACTATTTGTCTAGACCTRGAACAAATCCCAGTCCTGATTTCTCAATCAGCTGCTCAGTATCACAAACCRCTTTCAATTTCTGTGTGTCTGAAATGTGATCTAGCCATCTCCTAGTTCTGAGGCAGTTCTTATTCCCAGGAATATGATGTGCATATGGTCTTTCCAGACTGATTCTGGCTCTTTCTACATCTTCCGCATTAAAGGTAATGTTTTCAATTTCAGATTTGGATGGCTGAGAAATAATCAGGAAAAGAACCCTGGCTTCCAATACTCCTCCATAATTTTCACTGAAAGATGTTCAATCACATTTGCATTTCTTTAGAGATTATTTACAAAGTTCATACCATAGCATCCTGAGAAAGCCAAATTGTACACCTACTGCCAGAASAATCCCCTTGAGTCAATCAATAGCTATATTTCTGACTGGTTTAAAACCAATTGTTTCAGATGTCACTATTCCAAACCAGGTTTTGTCCTGATCAATATCTCTGACAGCTGTTCAGATAACCTACAAGTGGAACTAATTGCTGATAAAGCTATGCACCTATGCTCAGTCAGGCTGAGATGTGTTTTCTTTATGTAATTGCAATAGAAAACCTCACATGAATTCAACCCATACTTTCTGAGATGGGTATATTTCAATTTAGCAGAAAAATCATTTCTGGTGCACTCTTTGTCCTCACCACGAA